GATAAGCTAGCTATTCTGACGCGTCCCAGACCCAAGCTAGCTAGAGTAAGAAGTCGAAGTTGGAAGCTGGGAAAATATATTCCGTAGCAGCCAGAAGCACAGCAATCATAAGGGAAAAAAACCAAACGTATATATACAGCAATAAATTGTCCTTGGGCAGAATTATAAAATAGCACACTGAAAGATACAACTGACTAATAGCGTTTAAGATATTTTATAAGTGGGAAATACTACCCGAAAGTGAAAAGAGCACTTTTGGCGCGAAAACAAGGAAATTCAAATTTTCACTATGAAATTACAAAATTAGGCCATTTACCAAGTACGTTCTGGGGAATTAACATCCGCAACACTTAATATGAACCCTTCTGTTTTCATCGAAATATTTCGATATATAGTTATTTATTAGTATCAACATTTGTAGAGATTGTAATATTTTAACAGTTGAATTCACGAGTCGATTTAAACTAGACCACTATGGAAAACCTAGAAGCACTGAACAGCCGTTTCGCCCTAGTATGGGACTCCTCAACAGTGCGCACTTGTTAAATTATATCGCTAAAGTTTAGGTTCGTACTAGAAAGGGTTATATTTTGGAAAGTGATTCGTTCTATTTTAGGAATTATAAAGATGAGACTATAATTTATGGACAACCTTTGAGTGACGCTAAAAAGATCTTGAGAATGTCCATTTACATAATACGGCTAAATGAAGGTTACAAACCAGTGTAAGTAATTAATAGGATTAATATTTATGTTTGATGGTTAGGGTTAGGAATTAGATTTGATGTTTTCATCACGGACTGACATCAGCTATAATGACAAAACTTTATTTAGCTAAGTGAATGAATTAGTTTCGCACCAAAATTCAAGACCATTTATCGCAAACCTGACTGGTTTGTTCATAAATTATAGTCTCGCCCTTATAAGCTAGACTTATCTGTAACCCATTTTTGATAAGTTTTCTAAACATCTAAATGGCTTCTCATTTCTTCAATTCCTCACAAGTTTTTCGTTACTTTTAGACTAATTGTAGTCATGTGAAAAGTTTCACAAAGGATGAAATGAACATCATTCTGATGTTGGTTTGTTCTCTGAGCTCAGAGAACAAACCAACATCAAAATCACCCACCTGAGCTACAAATCTCCACCATCTCGAACATCATTCTATACAGAATATAAAATGACATGGTGTTATTCCCTCTCATTCACTGCTTTGAGTTTAGTCAAATTTATCGCCTGGAAAAATTATAGTCTTGTTTTCCTTGATACATCAAAAACGATTATAAATCAGTGGATTATTAATGTTGTTGGACAAAAAAAATTAGTTTCTTATTTCTGATTTATTTCAATAAACTTTAATCTATTGAATGCGTTGTAGTTGGCAGAATGTTTCTATTTAGGCTAATAAGATTTGTAGCTCAGGTGGATAATTTTGATGAAGTTTTGTTCTCTGAGCTGGATTGCTTGGTCGTGGAGCTGTAATCATTCTTCTGAACGACATCATTTACACAAACTTCGGGTTAGTGGTTGTGCTGATGATGTCGTTCAGAAGAATGATGAAAGCTCCACGACCAAACCATCCAGCTCAGAGAATTAAATTCCGTCAAAGTTCTTATCTATAAAATCCTCTTCAACAAGGCAATAGATCATTAATAAATATACTATTTAAATTCAATCAGTATTGTTTGCTTGAATCTTCCCATTGATGGTTTTAAGACTGCAACTGGTCAGTCTCTAATTGGCATATGTGCATACTTGGTTTTAGTCCCAGAGTGAACATCAACTGTGAGATTCAGGTACATCCAGCTGACTCGTCCCAAATAGAACGAGGCGCGCGTCCTGGATTCCACTGCTAGCCACTATCCATCTTTGCTTATATTACTTGTGAATTAAGGCTATATCGAGGCAATACTCACAGTACGCACATATGCCAATAGGAGACTGACCAGTCGCAGTTCCATAAATCAATGGGAACATTCAAATAAACAATACCAAGTTAACTTATCACTTTCTATTTATATTTCTTTTCATTAATAGTACATCTTTTCTAAGACTATTCATTCTTATCATTGTTTTAATGATTCCAATACCTTACAATACGTAAAAAGAAGTGTACAAATTATGAAATTGACACATCTAGACAATGGATTTTCCAAATAAAATCCATAACTTTACAATGCAATATATAAAAGAAATACATGTTTAATATTCCTCAACTGTTTATAAGTTTTTTTATTTATACTCTAAGTAATCCCAAGGTAGTAATTTTATCACTATTATTATTATTACTACTACTGCTACTACTACTACTACTGCTACTAATACTCCCCCACATCCTCTTCTTCTTCCTCCTCCTCCTCCTCCTCCTACTACTACTACTACTGCTACTACTACTACTATTACTACTACTACTAATTATAATAGTAATAATAATAATAATAATAATGATAATAATAATAATAATAATAATAATAATAATAATAATAAGGGATTTCTTTAAAGTGATTTGTTTTTCTTGTAAAAGTACATTGACAGACATAATCTTTATACATGTTGAAATATCTAACTGTTTTCCAAGGTGATTACAGTTCTTAATTAAATAAAAAGAGATTTACATATATGTTACTTCATTTGAAAATTGTTCATTCTTATCAAAGATTTAATGGAATTTTTTGTTTGTTTGAAATACTTTATGACACATTCGAAATTAGTTGAAATTCTTTGTATTGGAAGGGGTTTTTCTTATTAGTGTTGTGTTATTCGTTTTGGGATATTCATTATAAAGTTAGTCGAGTGGGATTAAGTCTTAATAAATTAAATGCTCTTTTACATTATTCAAAATTATTTAGCAAATGTAATTTACACCAACTCCGTATGTAGACCCTCCGAGGGATAATGCCGGTCTCAAACCCGGATAAAGGAGGAGGGTTGGGCATGAGGTTAGCGACCCCATCCTGTAGGAAACTAACTCGCTAAAAGAATGCTAACCAGAAAAATCATTTAAACCATTATTTGGTTTACTAAAATAATGAGCCTTTAAAACTCGTCTCTATTGGTGTATACTGATAAACAGTTTTAAATGCATCTTTATGTTTATACTGTCATTACGACGTAGACCTTCTGACTTTTATTTTTATCTACATTAGATAGATTCAGTAAAGTTTTACTTTCGTGATCTTACAGTCAATTCATAAAAGTGTTTGGGTACTGGTTGAATAACTATTTCCTCAAGTCGAATTTTTATTATCACCGTTAAATTGATTAAAGTAATCAGCTAGAATTTGTGGAGAGTAGAGTTTTCATATGATTTTTAAAAATAAAAATTCATTACATTTAATGTGTAAACTAGAAGGCTGATACTTTAATTATTTTATTATTGTAGGTTTTAAAGAGAACACATGCAATATAAGATGTTACCTAACAATTTATCTAATCTAAATTACCTCTCCAGCCCACTCTGTTCTGAGCTTTTCTTTCTAGTTCTATCCAATTTTTGCTCATTCTTCTCATGTCTGTCTCCATTTGTCGGCGTAATGTGTTCTTTGGTCTTCCTCCTTTACTTTAGCCTTCAGGATTCCATGTGAGAGCTTGTATTGCAACGCAGTTGGGTGATTTCCACAATGTGTGTCCTATTCACTTCCAGTGCTTCTTCCTGATTTCTTTCTCCGCTAGAATCTAGTTTGTTCTCTCCCACAGTAGGTTGTTGCTGATAGTGTCTGGCCAATGGATCCCAAGTATCTTGCTTAGACAACTATTAATAAACACCTGTAACTTCTGGATGATGTCTTTCGTAACCTAGTATTAATAAGCTTTCGTTTATATGTCAAAATCCTATGAGTATAGATATATGTGGAAAATTTTAAATGTTATTGATATCGGAGACCGACTTAAATTAGATATCTGCTGAAAATCTGAGAGCACTGAACAGCTGTTTTGTACTAACATGAGACACCTTAACAATCCGCATTCATGACCGCCACTGTGGACTAAAATATGAACCTTCGTTCTTGTACGTGGGTGGTTAACTTTTAGGTCACTGAGCTGGAGTTCAACACATGATAATTAATCTCAACCGGTCATGAATCCTTACTAGAAGTTTACAAGCAGTTAATCACCAATAAAATTGGAAAATGGTGATCGAAATGATCGAAATCAGGCACATACACCGTTATATACTAGTTTAGTGTTCGACAAATTGCACGTTTGAGCGCAAGACTAAAGATCATGGGTTTGATTCTCGTATGTGAGGTCATGGATAGGCACTGGTAAGAAGTTACATACCAGCACGAAACAGATATCCGTCGCTTCCTGATTATTGGTGTGTATCTAACTTAGGTCAATTCGTAATATCAGCATTAAAATTTATTGTCAACTAGCGCTAACATTCATTCTGTGATATTTTCTTCTAATTATACATTTACAAACAGTAACTCATGTAATAAACTTATCACCTCAAAATCTTGGGCTACTTAATTACATAATCTATCTTGCTGTTAAATATTATGAATAGTTTGATAATATTTCCTATTTCAGATTTCATATAGTTGAGATCACGAGCTAGAACACCATGAAAAACCTGGAAGTACTGGACGGCCGTCTCGTCCTATTGTGGGACTCCTCACCAGTGTGCATCCAAGATCCCGCCTCGCCAGATTTGAATGCTACTAACGCAGTGACATTTATTATAAACACTAAATGAAGACACTGTAACTGATAGACAACAAAATATTCACTTATTCTTATAACACAGTTATTTACAAAACGATCTTTCACTTCCGGATTTTAAACGTTTTTAGATTTAAAAAAAAAACTTGGGTTAAAAATTTAATGAATTACAGAACAAATGTCTCTTGATAAAAGTCCGTTTTTTTTAAATTTTTTGATCTCGTTCCATAACTACTACATTTATTGGGTTGTAAATTTTTTACTGTTTAAGCTAGTAATTTACAAATATCCAAAGTTGTTAGGTACTTTAGGTACTTTTTTCTTTATTTTTAATAGGTCAAGTAGGAAATATTATCACCACAAGGAATGCTCATCGTACTGAATTCGAAAAAATACTAGTAAGTTTATATTTTTGTATCTGTTTTAACAGAAATGACGTTTTGGGCGCCCAAGTGTAAGAATGTTTATCGTTACTCCATTATATTTGTCACCATACGTCATAATTTTATGGTAACTAATCTTAGATGTCTTCAACTTTGATAAGGATGGTTTAAACAGGGTTTTTTATTTTCAAATTCCTAATACAAAGCATAACAAGTTATCTTTTGGAAATGTTTAAATAGAAAAGTGTTTTGATTAGTACTTTATTATAAATGCTAGATCTCTAAACGCCATCAAAATCCTATATCCTTACCGCTAAATAAATCTCATTTTCATTAAAATCATGGACCAATCAGTGTTAGACCACCATCGAAAACCTGGAAGCAATGATCAATCGTTTCGTTCCAGTATGGGACTCCTCAGCAGTGCAAATTCACAACCACGTGCACGGGATTCAAACCCAGGACTTTTGTTTCCCCACGTGAACGCCTAACTATCAGACCATTGAGCCGGCAGTCAACAGTGTTGAAATGTAACTTCAACCAATACACAATGTTACGGGACCTTCTTTCATTGTCTTTGGTGGGTAAATGCCACACATCCTATACGGTTTAACTCTAACGATCACAGCTTCTCACTAAGATTCCGATTTTAATTAAATTCAATAACCTCTACAAAGGGAAACCGAAAACCTCATTATTTCAGAAATTTGTTACAATCACCTAACTAACTGCGAACATAATTTAAACGAAGTAATTATGAATGCTAACTGGATTTAATCACGTTCTCTTATAAAATGCATACAAATTATTTTGATGATAAATACTCGAAATCCCATACGGAGACAATAGAAGTTGTTTTATATATTCTTATTTGTCTCTCATTCAATAAAAGGAATATATTGCTAGTCATTTATCTTAAATATGATGGATGGAAACAATTTTTGTACTAACTGAAATGGGAGAGAAATTTGACGATTGAATGTTGATGATAAACGTCATCTGTTTAAAATATTTATTAAATATGTTGTTGGATAACTACAGTTCAATCGGACATTTGCTGCCATATCGCACAAATAAAACTGATAATACATTACAATAGGAAAGTTTATGGTATTGAGAAGAGCTACTGTTATGAGCTGAAGCAATAAACGTACCCAGAAAATAGCGTTCTGAACGGAGATAAATCTTGGAGATAGAAGGCAATCGATAAAAATAAAACTATATGTTTAACCACGTTGACAACTGAAATCAAATACTCCGGTTCAACTAACCAGAGCTTTTTCATGGAGAAAAATCAGAATCAAAGTAATAATAATAATAATAATATATTCTGAAAATAATATTTACAGAATTCACACCAGTTTACAGGCATGATCAGATTGTTATAAAAATCAACATTTAATGTAGAGAACAAACATGAACTATAAGAAGGTTTTATGTTTGCTGGTTTAGTAATTGATAAACAGTTTAAATATGGCATATATCACGGCAAGCCAATGCAACATCAGGGAACTTGTCATTTTTTTATTAAGTGGATAGCCTGATGATTGACCAACATTATTCTGTAAGGTTATTACCAGTGCCAGAGCGAGTTATTATTAATTATCTACAACTAGAGAAAGTAAGATTAAAGCAAAGAGCACGGAACAACAAAACAATGATAGCAAGTAAGAGGTTAAACATTTAAAGTTCCTATAATCTCACTTGTGAAGTAAGATACACTTGCAGGCGCTAGAGCATTTAATGCATTTTCAGAGGAGCAAAAAGCATTAATTGACCGAACAAACAATGGGAGAGAGTCTAACATACGGATAGTTTGGGGTAAATTATTCCATAGTCTAGAAAACTTACAGGTAAAGTAATTCATATAGAGAGAAGACCTAGAATATGTTTGTTTCGCTAAAGACAAGGAGTTACGAATGTCGTAATGTGAAGCCTTAGCATATTGAATCGCCTGACTGGATGTGAAGGAGAGTTTGTTAAGTATTTTGAAAAAGAAGATAAGGTTAAGTTTCAGTCTCCTCATCCATAAAGGGTCAAGCCCTAGTTTACTACACCTCGAATTATTTGTCAAGACACTATCAGGTCCAAGAGTACGAAATGTAAATCGTCTCTGTACTGATTCCAGTCTTAACTTATCCTTTATGCGCGTGCTACTAAGGAGAAACGCGCAGTATTCGAGGAGTGGTCGAACACAGACTTTGTACATTAGAATACGGGATTCGCTGTTATGAAGGTTTCGAGTTATGAAACCTATAAGGCGATGAGACTTGGACGTTTGTTTCATTACCTGTTCAGTAAACGACAAGTCATCGGAGTACCTAAGTCCTAGATCTACTACTGTGTGTAACCTAGATAACATTTCCCCATTTATGGTAAGATTAAGGTTGAGTGATGTATCACCGAAGCATAGCCAACCACATTTAGCTGTATTGAGCTCCAGCTGCCATTTTGAGCACCACTGTGCTACCTTGTTAAGCTCCATGCTGATGCAATTTCGAATATTGCTCAGCTCATGTGGAGAAAATGAGTACACCACCTTAAGATCGTCTGCAAACAAAAAGGACTTACCCACACTAAAACACTCACAAATATCATTAATGAAAACTAAAAAGAGCAAAGGACCTAAGACACTACCCTGAATTACCCCACTTCTAACAGGGACTGCGTTCGACAATGAAGAGTTGATTTTAACTATTTGATGTCGATTGCTGAGGAAGGAATCAAGCCAGGCTAGTAACGGGTTTTCGACCCCATAAGATGCGAGTTTACCTATGAGAAGTTGGTGGTTGACCATGTCGAAGGCCTTAGAAATGTCCAGGTATAGCACTAATACTAGATATCCTTGGCTACGAAGCGAATAGACTAAATTAAAGAAGTCAAAATGACATGTCATACAAGATCGATTTTTAAGAAATCCATGTTGCGAATCACCAATAAATTGTTCAGTCAATAAATAGTTGGATAGTTCGTCACTAATAATTTTTTCCATAATCCTAGAGATAACTGGAGTAATATTTATTGGCCGATAGTTGTTCATGTCAGTCTTATCTCCGGATTTGTAACGTGGTATGATGTACGCGGTTTTCCAACGGTCAGGATAACAGCCTGATTCCATAGAGAGGGTAAACAGTTTAAGGAGAAGAAGTTGGATATCTGGACCACCATATTTGTAGAGAAATGATGAAATCCCGTCTTCACCGTGACCTTTCGAAACCTTGAGCTTATTTATAACCTTACTAATTTTCAGACATGTGAAGGAGATAGATTTAATGGAGTTACCAGTCAAGCATATAACTCTAGAAACAGAGCCATTTATGGATTCTTTGTCATTTACAAAATTACCACTGAAAAGGTCTGCTATAGTTTTTGGGTCATATATAAAACTATTATTATGCAGGATGCATGGTATATCAACATTTTGAGTTGATTTAGCACGTTTATTATAAAGGTGGATTAGGTTTTGCACTTTTGAGCTAGTACGTAGTGCTAATAGCTCTTCATTGATGGCTTTTGACCTATGTTTCTCTTTAATTTGGTTAAAAATTATTGTTATTTGTGTGACTGCTGTGAAGTCGTTAGATTTAAAATAACGTTTCTTTAGGCGTCTTAGTTTATTACGATATTTAGCTGGTATATATAATTCGTAATGTTTACTAATCCTAATGAATGATAAATAATCTGAAAAAAGGCAACTATATACTAAGTACTTGTCCGATCATGCTCAAATTTTGAATTCTGTTTGAAGATATGTATAAAACAAGTTCAAACTGTGATATGTGAAAGTATGGATGTGACAGTCAAATTCTTATTTGAAAGTAATTGCGTTAAATCTAGCAGTTCACTGCGATATTAAGCCATGATAATTCTAGATGTTGCAAAACTGAAAGTAGACTACAATAGATTGCATTTGTTAGAATGATGTGGATTTCGAAAAATGAATAAAAAATATGTTGGCATGCGCCGTCATGTTGAGAAAAACGATTCCGAGATATTTTTATTCACAATAATTAACTGATCTGCTAAATATACCTTGTGGTCGATATCTATTTAGCTTGAGATTTACATTGGTGCAAGAGTAGACGACGGTATTTCTTGCCTTCATCTCCAAATCCATTGTACATTTTCATGGTACAACTAACTGCAAACAATGTTGTTCATTCGTTTATTTAAGGCTTGGGCTATCATATTTATTTATAACATAACACTGACTATAACAGTAAGCAGCACTAATCTAAGTCCTATAAAAAGCATCAGTTCTGATATGTAATGTCGGTTACTATGTTAAGCCCACATAACTTATTCTATTTTCTGGACAGGTCAATTTATCCATTTTGCTGAAGTCACGTTCCGACCTTATTAAGTATCCACTTATCAACCTTGGTTGTTTTTATATCAGTATATGTGTGCACGCCACCTATCCTACTCATCACATGTCTGCAACTTATTTTTATCTGGCTATAAATACCAATTAAGGCTTAATTAAATCCGGTTAGCTTACATGCCGTCATCACCGAGATTCATATATATATATTCGTTTATTATTATGTTGCTGGTTATAACTGTCAAAAAACTGGAGTCAAATATGGCAAGACATTATTTCAATTACTTTAAGTTGCTATCCATACAAGAAACTGAAGCTTGAAAATCAGTTCACTCTTAATAATATAAAAGCATTTTGCAGATAATACACCAATAAAAATTTATTGCACTAGTGATACTGTGGTGTGGGTTGCTTACATTCACATAAGTAGTATATGACGACGGTCGGGCAGTGAATGCGTTTCACTAGAAGATCGATAAGGAAAAAAACGGAAACGAAACGCAATAATCGGGGACTATGGACTGATATTTACAGAAGGAATGGTCAAGATTGAGACAATTGTTTGATAGTTTGCAAATTAACTGTTTACTGTATGGTTGTCAGATTTTAGTGAGATATTCTGTAATTTTTATGTCAAATACATTCGAGTGTCCACACTCGTCCTCTTGTTCAAAACAATACTTCTTAAAAA